CCTGACACATAAGCAGGCAAATTGCCCAGGACTTGCTGCGGAGAATTTATTTATACTCATTTGGAATTTCCTGACAAAATTCTCTCCTCCTGCCCAGGCTCAGCTAATGGAGTTCCAATCCATTTCTTCTTCTTCACAACTTTCAACATGCAAATATTTGATGATTATAATTCAGAAGGTACAGACTTCTGGAGAAAATGTAATATGGCAGAATGCACACTGCATAAGTCACAAAAAGTAACTTTTCTGATTATATGAAACAAGCAAAATTGGGTAAGAATGAAAGAAGGTGCCCCAGACCTGAATAAGAATGAATCCCCCCACACCCCCAAACTGGCCTCATTCCTTACCCACTTGGCCCAACCTCCCAACAAGGGCAAAAAAGGCGGTACTGAAACACGCTGTTCAGAAAAACTATCTCTCTTGTGATCATGTTATGTACAGCATTTGAATATTTTTGGTTTTCTATACCACAGGCAGTCTGTATTTTGCTCGTATTTGCCCAGCCTGGCTTATAATTTAAAAGCTAAAAATAAATACTTGACAAAAAGACTTCCTTAAGGATGTGGCTAAAGGGATGTGGCTAAGCATGGCGAACACATTTTATAAGACAAAAATATATGACTGAAATAAAAGACGGGCCTTAATAAGCTCATCAACAATAAACCCTAACTACATGCATTTTTATCTTCTAAAAACTGTTACATTACATTTTTGACTTCAGGGAAAGAAATGGTGACCTAAGAGTGCAGCTGGTGAATAGATTTGTAATTCATCTCTGGACAAAGAAAGGACTTGATATTATTATTATTATTATTATTATTATTATTATTATTATTATTATTATTATTAATTGTTATTTTTACTAACTTTATTTGCTGCCCATCTCATTTTGAAATCACATACAAGTGCTCCAGACAGCCGCTTCTTGTAAGGAAATTGCAAGACAGTGGACTCTGGCAAGTTGAGAACATGGCACAGCCAACTTTTTGCTCAAAATTGGACTGATGCCTTCAAAAGGACAGTGGATTGGCATACTTCTTTTCCTAATAATTTTCTAACCTGCATTTATTATTTTTGATAAACAACTCAAAGTGGTGAACATATATAATACTTATTTCCCCCCCAACTTCAGTCCTACGAGGTGAGGTCCTACGAGGTCCATGTCTAAGCCAAAACTAGAACTCACAAAGTCTCCTGGTTTCTTGGCCAGCAATCAATACACCAAACTGGTTCTCAACGTCTTTAATGGACTTTTACTGATCAGGACTGAACAACGAGGCTTTAAGGATTTGTTTATAGATAAGAGATGGGTAAGGGAAGAAGACATCATTTGTTGTATTTTAAGAAGAGGTGATTAGCTATTAATATTGTTTACACCTGTGAGAAAGACAGGGAAGTCTTTTCTTCTTCTTCACTGTATTATATTTTTCCCTTTTCTGTTCGGCACTTTTTTATTCTTTTTAAGTTTGCATTAGTTTTTTGTTTTTTAAGTGTAATTTTAATAACATTATTATAAAAAATAAATTCTGTTACATTTATAATTATATACCTAAAGTCATATAGCCTGTGTTCATAAGGCAGCAGTTACTGAAAACTGTTAATAAGGCAGGATAGAAATAAAACTAACCTACCCATTTTAGATTAGTAAATAATTGACAATTTAGGTTTGCTCTTATAGCAGAGTTCAAAGTCTAGGGAGTTCAAATGTTCTGCCCCACAATCTGGCAGCACGTTTTTAACAGCGTCGGTTTGAAAAGTATTGTCTTAATACTGTTTGTAAAGGACACCATATTCAATTAATTCTGCTTTTGAGAAGTACTGCAAGAATGGAATTCAAACAAAATCAAATCATAATTATTTCCCTCCAAAAATATTTCTATTTTCTCTCTCATATAGGATAACTCCCAGGTTATAGCACAGGTATGGTAAATTCATAGAAAATTCTTGATCTTTCCATTTTCTCCTATCTAGTCCATTAAACTAGTTTGTGTCTGTTGCATAAAGGAACTGGCATCGAAATGGTGGATAACAAATGTCTGCTTAGAGTATAGACACCCTTATTTAATAAGGATATTTGGTTGGGGATGCCAATGCAGCTTTCTTGGTTATAAGAGGCCACATGTAAGACACATCCCCTCCCACCTTTGAACAACATCCTCAAAACTATGCAGAGATAATTCTGCTAGGTATTACAGTGCGTTGTTGTGCAGATGATTGACTGAAAAACAAACCACCTTTGCATGATTTGCACACAGGAGCCAGGGTATTTGTATTGCTTTCTATCATATAAGCATAATAATTGTTGATCCCAAGGTGGATGTGTGGTTTTATATAGACTAAAAAAACCTAAAATGCAAATAGGCTTTGTCCAAATGACAGAATGATGTTCAAATAGAGTTCATGTATGCAGTCACAGTAAACTTGTTGCTTGACTCCATTAGATGTCAAAAGGTCAGTGAATCACCATATCAGCACAGCATAGATAACAGGAAGTATGTACAGGTACATTTTCATTTGTGCCAGCAGGAGAGGCTATTAATAAAAAGACAATCAACAGCCAGAAATATAGAGAGCTCTCTCTCCACCAAGACGTGTCATATTCTGTTCTGTAGGGCCTAACACTTCTCAAGTTATTCTGTTGCTTGCTCTGAGGAGAGGGCTGCCTGTCTCTACTACTCATGGAGAGTTAACTGAACAATCTTCTCCCCCAACTTTTAAATGCAGGACTGAGTTTTCCAAGGCTAGGTAAGGGGGCACTTCAATTAATATTAGTTCCTCAAGATGCCCCGTAGTGCTACATGTTGCTACCACAAACAAGGAGATGTTGGGTTCTAGCTTTCATACACAGAACATGCAAATCTGCCCTCCTGGTGGGAGATTCTGGTTCTTGGCATAGGATGAGTAAGGACTCTGGGGAACCCATGATTTAGTTTAAAAACTGCCTCATCCAACAATCTCCATTCCATTCTGGACTGATGGGGTAGTATATTTTAATTTTTTTAAAATACTTTTTTGATATTTTTTATGTATATTGTTGTTTTTTTAACAGTCGCTTGGTCGATTGTTGTTGTGAGCCGCCCTGAGTCCTTGGAGATAGGGCGGCATACAAATTTTATAAAATAAATAAATAAAATAAATAAATTCACAATTTAAGAGACCTTTAAAATGTTTGAAGAACGCTGTAATTTCTCCTAAAAACCTATTTAGAGTTTAAAAGGTAAAATGCATGGAGCAAGTACCACCACCTTTTTTCTCCCCTAAAGCCAGCACTGGATTATTATTATTATTATTTTGCAAAGCAGAGGGTGAGATTGCTGATAAAAACTGAAATGCCAAGTACTCTTGGAGGCAGCACACAGCAGATAACCAATAGGGCACAACAGAGTAGAGCCAGGAAAGCAAAAATCATGCGTCCCCATTTCCTTCTCCAGCTATTACCTTGATCTCCTCAAGAGGAACAACCACCTTTTCCTAAGGAGCAGCTATAGGAAAAGAAATTTGAAAAATATTCGAAATTCACTTTTTTGAGGGGAAGCAAGCTTTAACCTGTCTTTCAAGTTCAATAGATCGGAAAAAGTATTGCTTCAGGACTCATGTTTCCAAGGAGCAAAAGTCCCCAAACCATAAGAAGGATAGGGAACTTTTCATTAGATTTTTTCCTGAAAACAAAACATTATGACTGGGATTTCTCCCCTGATGTTTCTTATGCAGAAATTTTGAGTTAAACCTGACTCCAGCAACTGATTGGATAAATCCCTGAAGTTTTCTTGGGAACATTTTCAGAAGTGGGTCGCCAGTGCCTTCTTCTTAACAATGAGAGGTAAGAACTGACCTAAAATCACCCAACTGGTTACAGAACTAGAACTCACAATTTTCCAGTTTCTAGCCTTTAATCCCAACACCAAACTACCTCTCCACCAAAAAAAAAGAAAAAAAAGTTTCTTTTTCTTTCATTGTCTCCAAGAGAAAGGAAAAGAAATTCAGTACAAATATTCGACACAATTTTCGAATAACTCATACAGTGACAAGAAGTTCCAAATGCACATACCTCATTAGATCTTAAATTTCATGAAGCAGAAACATGTCAAAGTTCATATTTTTCACTCTTTTGGCTAGAATGCCTTCACATGCATTATTAAGGACAAATCCAGACCAAAGTACAATAGATAATCAGATTTTGAGATGTAACATTTGACTTTAAACCCTCTGAATCACATTTCTTAACCTTTTCATCACTGACCATGATTGTAAAGCATAAACTTGCTTCTTGCCTCCTCCTCACATCCTGTCCAGACCATCTTTTGAATCCCTTCTAGAACACTTTTTTAAATCTCTTTTTTCTTTAATCTCGCCTTTCTTTTTTTCTTTCTTTCCTTCCTTCCTTCCTTCTTTCTGCTCCCATTTATAAGCAGTTATCATTAACTTTCTTACAAACAATGATATACATTACAAAAACCAAGCATTGTTGTGAGCGTGACAGCTGCCCTTACTCCATGTGCTCCACTCATCCCTTACAATAGTTTTTATAAATAGAAGGGCAGATTGGCTTTAGCATTAACTATAATATCCCTTAATGCTTCTCAAGCAGTCGTCTTTAACTGCTTCTCCTGGGCCTTTCTCTCATGAAGAGGGGATATCTCCCACTTTCCCTCAGCCACCTCTTTGCTCAATTTCCTTATAACACTTAGTAGGTAAGTTTTGTTATCTTTACTAAAAGAGTTTTTAAACAGAATTCTAATGGCAAAAACATTTGAATAAACAATTATAGTCCCTCATGCCCAAAATACCAGTCCACACAAATGCAACCAGGTTAAATTAGAGGCAAGAGAGAGTTCAAATCCTAAATGAGGTACTGGGTCAAACCAATGTAGTATAAGGGTCAAGGGTCACTACTTGAGCAGACAGGCTAAGAGTTGAGGACCACAGTGGAGAGCCATCACCAACTGACCTATGAGGCCCCTTATATAGGAGAGGCATGACCCACGTTTTTCCCTTTAGCAGGACAGGGTTGTTTCTGGCCAATAGTTTTGCTAAGTGCCTTTCTTTAGCCCTCCTCTCTTCAAGGCGGGCCCTTGCACTGAGGGAATTAACTTCACCCATCTGTCTTCTGAGACCAGTAATAACTGCCTCTGCTGGTTGCTAGGGAACGCAGCTTTCCCTGCTTGTAACTCTTCCAGCTGAATCCCCCTCCGGCTGATGACCCTCCTGTAATTCCTCTTTGTCCCTGAAATTCTGGGAAGTGGCTAAGGTTGAGAAGCCCTGATCTAGTGAGTCTGAGTTGGCCATGACAGTTGTGTCAATAGCTCCTCCAATCTAGCTGAAGAAGCCTCCAACTCTGGCCATTCTTGCAGGGGTCCACAATGGCCCATGTGTCATGCTACAGTACCCACACTCCTGTAGATGGCCAGTCCAGTACTTGGCCCTGAGCATATTTTCCTCCTTTTTGCCTGGCTTCATCACTCTGTTGGTATCTTGTTGTGCCCATTGTTGCTGTTAGTTTGTGCATCAACACTTAATTTAGAAATTGCAGGATGGATACTAAAGAACAACAATACTAAGGGATATGCCAGGATGATAATAAATCTTGAAAAAAGTTTATTAAGAAATTGGCCTGATTATACTGAATATACTTGCAGCAACAGAAGATTCTACTTCAGAAGTCTCTTAAGTGTTAAACCACTGAACTATATACATTGCAGTTCATCAACAAAGAAATTTCCAGGTTTTGATTGGTTTACTCTACTCAGAAATTTCTGGCTCTCCAAATATGGACCGGAAAACATGAATGACTGTGAAAGGGAAGAAAGAGTTTTCCTGTACCTCTTTCCTACACTTATTAGTCACCTCCATTATTCTAAATAAATCTTTTTTCTCCAGTGCAGACTACATCTGACAGAGTTTAAAAATATCTTCTAAGTCTTGAGCATTTCAAATCTTATTCCTTGGCCCTTTCTATTTGCCCACCAATCCTGACTGCTTTTATGTCTGATTTACAGATTCACAGAGATACTGACTCATGGACAATGAACCAAAAGCAGCAGCAGCAACCAGACCACAATCTGCACTGAAAGAGACAGTGGAGCAATAATCACAGGTATCTTGCAAGACCCTGGAAGAGGAGACAGTTCTTTATCTTTTTGAGGACAGGTATTGTGTTTCTGTTGTCCTCTACATTTTTCAAACAGCAAGCCATACTATTCATTAAAAAAAGGTGAAAAATGCAAATGGAAGAAATTGCCCCCTTTGGTAGCTCAAGTCCAAGATGTAAAGCCATTTTACATTACAAAAGACTATACTGCTGGAAATTCTAGATGTTGTATTACTCATACTGTTACTGGTTGTTTTTTTTTTAAAGAAGCAACACAAAGGAGTCATCCTGTATGTTAAAAACATCAATAACTACTCAGAACTTCAAGTGAATTAGCTTCACAATCTTCCAGAGAACATCTGGGTTAAAAAAGTGGAAGAATAAATAAAAGCAACAGAGTTGCAGTTATTTATTGCTATCTATGCAACCAAGATGATGATGTCTTGGTGATCCTTTCCAAAACAAATGGTTGATCTTTGTAAATGGGAAATAAAAGTAATGGGGGACTTTGACTCTCCCACCATCTGCTAAGAAACAAGCTCTTGTCAAGACTGTTCCTTTAACCAAATTGCTCATTTGTTAGCTATTCTTAATTTGATAGTGGTCAATAGGGAATACTTAGCTGAAGATCTGGAAATACCGTAGCAGCAACATCAGAACAAAGCAAACATGAAATAATGAAATTCTTGATTGGGGGAGGGGTGGACAAAAGCAGACACATCCTTCAATCCAAAAAAAAAACAAAACAGATTCAATATACTCAAATTATTAGAAGGAGCTTAAGTTGGTGACGGTCCTAAAAGAAGGAACGGTAAAAGCACAACTGCAAACATTCCAGAGGCAAAAATTGAAATCAGCTAAAAATAGCCAACATGGCTTCAAAAAAGCCTGGTGATCTGAAAACAAAAAAGGACAGATAATGGAATGACAAAGAAGGGTAAGTCATCAAGGTAAAGTACACTTCAGGGATACCATAGATCAGACCTGGGCATCTCACAGTCACCAGGCCACATCCAGCCCTTTCGCTGTCCCTGTCTGGCCCATGTGAGGTCAACTGGAAATTAGAAATCAAATATAAATAAGTGTATGCCATGCATGCAATACAACTCTATTACATTTATTTTGAAGGCGACTGCTATTCCCTCCCCTTCCCAATTTATTCATATGTGTGGGTGCCTACACACTTCATAGTAATGTTTTCGTCCTACTGGTTCAGCCTTCCACAACAGCCTCAGTTTCACATGTGGCCCGTTGGGAAAATTAATTAATTAATTAATTAATCACAGAATAGCAAAATAGTGGGTAACAAAGCAATAGCAGCAGCACTGGACTCGTATTTTGGCTCAGACATCTCCAAGACAGAGTACATCACTAGGCAATTGCAAAAAGCAAAAGCAGTGTTGAAACTTGAGACTGACAGAAACATGCTCAAGGAATGCCTATTTATTTTGAATGAATTTCAAATTCCAGAGCCAGATGCAGTAATTGCCAGGTCAGTGTGGATTTGTCCAAAAGATGTCTAGCCAGAATAATCTTAACTTGTATCTTAATTAGGTACCTTCCATAGTGGATTATAGAATTGCTGTAGATATAATTCCAGACAAGCATTTGATAATTTATCCCATGACGTCAGAGAAGCAAACCATTTCGGTATGGACAGCCTGACAATTAAGTAAATACATAATTGGGTTAAAAACCAAAGTTGCTAAAAATAACTTAGGGAGAGTGGAAACAAAGCTGTGCAATGAAGATCCATGACTTAATAGCCACTACTGAAACATTTTTGAAATAGTCGTTGATAAGACACTGAATGTGAATTGGTGGTATTAATGGCTGCAAAAATAGGGGGGGGGGAGGTTGCATCAACAGAGTTTTAGTTTCCAAATTTCAGAGAGCAAAAAATTAATTTCATTCTGTGGTGATAGCATACAATATTTGGCCAGAAAGACTGGAATAGGCTTAGAGAAAGGTAACTAGAAATATCAGACAATTACCGTATTTTTTGGAGTATAAGACGCACTTACCATTTTTGGTTTTTTTTTAAAAAAAAGTTTGTTTGTTTGTTTTAGACAACACACATACAAACATACAATGTATTTTCTTTGAACAGAGTGTTTGGCCGGTTCACACATTTAAACAGTGTTTAGTCATTTCAATTAAATTTACAATTTCTATATTTCCTTTTTGCCATATTTATTCCTCATCTATTTTTTAAAAAAAACAATATTACCCTTCATTCTCATCTCTAATCTTAATCAAATTCATTTTTTCCCTTCTATACTATATTATACCCCTTCTACTGTCATCTATTTTTAAATCCATCCTCACATTGGTTAATTATTTAATATTACAGTTGTTTAGTACAAATTCAACATTTTTATATAAATCAATTAATTATATAACTATCTTTTTTGTATATTAATCAATATGAACATGAATATTCCAATTATTTCCATGCAATCCAGTTTCTTACAAATCAATTAATTATATTTACCAATAATAATAAACCAAATAATTTTCCCCATATATTCCTCCAAACCACAACTTAACCATTTCTGCTTTCAACACAATATACAATTAACAGTATCTCAATTATTACAATTCCCTAGTTAAATAGAGCTTTTTTTCTTTTGTGTTTTAAAATCTTGAACTCTCCTCTTTTGCCCTAAATTTCCCATTGTTTGCACCTACCTTTTTTGGTAAGAAAAAAGAAAAAGAAATCTCTCTCTACCTCATTTTGTCACATTGCAGCAAAGAGCCTGCTTTACTTTCAGTTTCGTTTTTTCAGCATAGCTAGGGGGAAAAAATCTGCTCCAGCACTTTTTGCAGCAAGCAGGAGAACCCTGCGCAAAACAACTGAGAGCAAATCAGCTGAGAGTCTGGAGGCCGATCTAATCAACTTGTGCTAATTAACCTATGCTGAAGCTGAAAGGGGCTGTTTTCTCTTGCTGTTTCCTTGCAAGAAAGTAACTGCTGCGAGGCACAGGACAAAGGGTGGGGGCCAGTGGGTGGGCAGGGCTACATTCGGTGTATAAGACGCACCTAAATTTTCATCCCCTTTTGGAGGATAAAAAGGTGCATTTTATACTCTGAAAAATATGGTAAAAACTAAACCCTATAAAGATTGAAGGAGTTGGGTATATTTAGCCATTTGAAAATATAACTGAGGATGAATATGATAGGTAACACTTCTTTAAATACAAGAGACAGGAATGTCAGTAACAACTGTCTGTTGTTCCAGAGCTTAAGAAGCAAAATGTGCTTTCAGTTACAGAACGAGAGATTTTGATTTATGTCAGGAAAATGTTAGAAAAAAGCTTCCTAATAATAATTCAATAGCAGAACAAGGTACCTTGTTTTTACTGTAGGAATTCAACTAAAGGCTAGACAGACTTTGGGGAATACTTCAGTTTGGATTCCAACACCGATAAGGGGTTGGATTCAGTGGCTTAAAAAGCCCCTTCCAACTCTATTATCTTAGAAAGAGATTACACTGATTTTCAGAAACAGAAGATATTTAGCACCACAACATATATTTCTGCCAAACCCATAAAATCTAGGCAATATATTTTTGGAAGTTGCTTTTGAAATTATTCATGTTGAAAATGCTCTTGGTAAAGTTTCTTTTCTCTCCAAAAAAATCAGCTCAGTCATCTTGCTTTTTACTGATGTCATCAAAACCATATGAATACAGCAACCTGCATTTATTTTTCGCAAAGAATAGCTCTCTCTACTTCTTGAAGATCTAACTCTTCAGAAAGCATAATGAGTATAAGCGTCTGAGTGAGTGAGTAGCAGTCCACGAGGTTTACCAGCAGTAGTTATAGTTACACTTTTTATTAATTTCATTTTGTCTAGTTTATAGAGTTAACAGCGATACACATGCCCTTTAGCTTCAATTCTTATGAACACCTCCTGGAATTGGTTAGGCAGACAAAACATGGTTAGTGAGCAGTTCATTAGATTAGTATTTCTGGCCAGACGGTGGAGATTTTTACTGTGCAGTTCCAGTCTTTCTCTAGTTGTTACAAGACATTGGACTTTCTTCCCACTCTTTTTTTATACTGCTTTAAAGGAACCCAACACTTTTCCATCTAACTATGAATTCTTAACTACAACACCCAAGGCAAATATTAAAACAAGAATAGCAGAGGCCAGTAGTTCAGAGCAAATATAAGAACTAGGAAAAAGATTCTAGAACGACTCAACAGAACAGTACCCAAATTGTGCACCCAAGATCACAGATACAAACTTACATATTTCAAGAAAGGATAGCAAGTTAATCCTGAATTTGTTACCTGGCAAGAATGGTTAACAGCAAGTCAATTCACTTAACATGCAGATTCACACCAGCAAGTCAATTCACTTAACAGCACTCAATTCACATAACATGCAGATTCAAATGGGCACTGATTCCCACATTCAGTCTTCTTCTGTTGTACTGAATCCTTATAAAGAACTCTTGATACTCTTGACTTTGCAAACAAAAAAATTAAGGGACAGGAACCCCAGGACTGTCTATGGAGGGAGAAGTGAAACAAGGCAGGAAGCTAGAGAAGCGTTCTAAGGGAAAAGAAGTCCTCTTGTACCGTGGAAATTCAAGCAGCCATCAGGGTGCACTGCAGAAGTTTTCTCTGAATGTAACAAAGCAAGCAGAATTGAGGTCATACAGAAGTTGAAAATGAGTCACAAGAAAACAATGTGACAAGGGGAATGTTTGTGTTTACTTTACTCCAAGGTACAGAGACCAGATTTTGTTCTGTTTTCTTCTCTTCCAAAGAGTAACATCACATGGTGCAATACTTTCTGCAGTAAAGAAATGTCATGTCACGTGTTAGAAGGGACAAGAGAGAACAAAGAATCTTCCATTAGATGGCTTTGTTACAGCTTGGCCTTTTGCTAATAAACAAGACCCGTCTTTAGATCTATAGTTAAGCTGATTCTACAGTAATTTTAAACAAATACTAAGGTAACTTATTTAAGCCAAATAATTTAATTGTTCCTGATAACTTAAGCCTCTGCTTTGAATTAGCAGAAGGAATTGTTGACCGTTGAACATAAAAAGGAAGGAAAAAAGAAATAAGTTGAAGTAAACCTGAATGGATGGGTGGATGGATGGATGGATTGATGGAGGCCAGCAGTTTGCCACTTTTCCTAAAAGAATGTCCTTCCTACATTGAAGCAGAAGATAGGAAGCAGGGATGTGTAAAGGTTTTGGTGCCACCTTGGAGAAACAATATGAAGAGAACCCAGCAAAAGGGCAGCCTGCCAGAGGTGGGGTATAATGAGTTGAACGAAAGTGGAAGATCCAGTAAATCCAGCTGATTGTGAGGCCCTATCATTCTGGCAGTTAAAGAAGACAGATTTGAGCATTGAAAGAATTTGACTTGCAAGCTTGATAGGACTATTAAATAAATGAACCCAAGCCAGGCAGGTTTAGTCTTCCTAGTTTTTATTCAGTTTAATGTGATAAAATATGTACAATTCCATGTGGAAAGGAAAGAAAAACGAAAAGAAAAAAAGTCATAAAACAAGGCA